AAAAAAAAAAAAAAAAAGAGTATAGGCATGAACTACAACAAAAACTCCAACTCAAGGACGAGCTCAAAAAAGAGCCACATGAAACATATGAAGCAACCAAGTCTAAAGTACTCTACAAATTTAGAAAAGGGCTTTAGGATCTAATTCCCTAAGCAAATTCTAAATGACTTGAAAATGATTGGAACACACGTTAAATTGCACATTTTACGGAACTCGAGAGAACGTGGAAATATCCACAAAAGAACCAAGGTATTAGCATGGAAAACGAGGCAGCAACATATGAGACATATTCTCTGTGAGGCACTATATGTTTTCTTTACATTCTTCATCTCATTTAACCTCCATAACACAGTAAATATTATCATGTTCATTTTCAGATGATGAAAATTAAGGCTTGCGATTAACAACCTGTTTAAGTTCAAGCTGGCAAAGAGTAAATTTCTGGTAAACACTAGAGAAATTGTGGAACACTCAAAAGGAAGGCAGTAGTATGGATATTTGGTAAGCTTGGATCACATTCAATCCCGCAGAGCTCAAAGTTAATTTTTTTCCCTCAAGATCATTCACAAGACCAGACTGTCAGTCAAGCTCTCAGGACTGTAGATGGGAAAGAAGTTAAAGGAATGTGGTCAAGTTTCCCTGTCGCCTGGGATGTATCTCATCTACATTCCCTTTCCCTGCCTCTATACATGTGGTCAGAGAACCATTCAAAGAGATTAAATGTCAAATCTGAACAAAGGGAATATGTGGGGGAAAAAATGAGGCGTCAACATTCATTTAACTATTATGAACAGATACTATTATATGCAAAGTAGAGCAATGCCAACTCATCTATCTAACACTGGACGGGAATGGTTATGCGTAGTCAAAACAGAATGACTCTAGAGGTCTTGGTGTTTATGTTTTAATAAGAAGAAAGAAAAGACAACTTGGATGAAATTTTATCTAACCTTATTGAGGGAGAGCTCTGATACAAAGAAAATATATTAAATAGAATAAAAAGCAATATAGAAAAGGGCATTTTGATTGTCTAGATGGGAAAAGGTTGGGAAGAAGCTGATTAACAGCCCACAATGGGAAGGACAGATATCCTCTTCCTTGCCTCCACTTCCGCACACAGAAATCACAGTGCTGGCATCTGCAGGGCCAGGCTTACAGACATGGGAGAACAGGGCAGCTCAGGGCTTTTCCCCTGAGGTTCCTTCCACACTCCAAAGGAACTGAAGAGGAACATGGAACGTTTAGAAACGGCTGCCATGTCACAGGAAAGAGATAAAGGGAACATCCAATTTGCTTCCAGGTTGTCCAACCTAGACAGTCAGGGAGGAAAAAAAGGAGCCACTGATTCCGAGCAGAACTTTTGTCCAGAAATGTGCATACAGCATACATTTCCCTTGTGCTATAGGAACCTGAGCACAGTGGAGCGCAAGAGGGAAAGAAACTTTAAAATTACTTGATGCCGTCTGGAAAACATGGGGCTAGGACCCAGAACTTTACTAGCAATGTGACGCTGGGCAAGACTGCTAACATCTTTAAGGTTCAGCTACCAAGTAAGTGAAGTGGAAAATACCTGCCCTCCCTATTGCAAAGATTATTATGAACTTCAAATATCAGCAGAAATTCAAGGGCTAAAATAAAAAAGAGAGAAGGGAAGGGAGAAAATAAAGAATTGTGATTCTGATCATAAACAAAGAACTAAATTTGAAATCTGTATTAATTAAACAAATGAGATTGAATACAGACATGGTTGTGGCTTTTAGTAATGAATTAAGTGTGAACATATATCTTTTATTATTAAAAACTGTAATAATCAAATTAATGCATATTGAATGCAAATGAATACTTATCCTACAGAATTTTAATGCTATAAGGAAACACAGATAATCTAGTCTAAGTTATGAATTTAATTTTCTTAACAGGAACCCTGTTTTTCAAGGACAACACAGAAAATAGCTGCTTATAAGATACTGCTAAGGGTCTGCTTGCTTTGTCTCTCCCCTGCATGGCTCCAGGAAATTTCTACGCGAGTTCTTCTACAGAACAGTTTAAAACCACAGATGGAGTGTGACCCCCAATTTCTAAAATTGAAGAAACTAAGTCCAAGAGGCAGAGCTGGTCAGAGGAAAACCAGTCAGGACCAGAACCCAATTCTCCTGACTTAGTCTAGCATTCTCTCTCCTATGCCCTGTTGCTTCTATTTTCTTTTTTTAAGGACAAAAAAAAAAAAAATAAAAATGTGAGGTTCTCTTTTTGACTTTGTAAATAATTCCACTCTCTCTCTCTCCTTTCAAATCTCCTTCTGGCTCAAGATCACTCAACTCTAATCTTTTTGGATACAAGTCATTGATAACATGGGCAAGATCAGAGAGAAGATAAAGTGCAAAAGAAAAATGCAAAGTCAGCCATCCCAGGTTTATTCTGCTCAGATTTAACTACAATTAACACACTGGGGGAAAGCGCTTAGACCACAAATTGTGGCGTGGATGGAGTCTCAGTCTTCCTGTAATTGCTTGAAATCGTTAACGTAAAAAATTGTCAAGGGGCATCACAGAACACCAGAACGTGTTAGACATGAACGTTCAACAACTTGGTCTCATCTGTGAAAAGCTCTTTCACTAAATGCTGTATTTTTGGAAAATGGAATCTACAGAAAGAAGTAAACAATGACTTTTAATTCAAGGCCCCAGAAGAAAAATGCTCATGATTCTCGCATTCTCATATTCCTTAACAGAAATCCACGTTACATGCAACAAACTCACCGCAAGCAATCTGATAAGAAAATTCTCAACAGCTCTTCCTCCCCAAGAAAATTAAAACTGCTTTTAAATTCACAGGCTCTCAAAAATGTTGGCAACTTAAGCGTACTCAATTTTTTTTTTTTTTGGTACCAAATATCACACTTAACATGAAGCATTAAGCAAACTTTGGAGCCTGCAGAATGCTCGAGCCGTGCATACGAGGTAAATCGCACCACCGCCCAGGGCGAGGAAGGGATTTGCAAGTTTGCCTCTAAAAAGTCACTTCGTGAAATGCAAAGGCGCTCGAGTCTAGCTGTGTTTCCTTTTGCTCTCTGTAATGGTGCGACCCTAAGACCACTTTTAGGAGTTCAGGTTTGCGTCACCGCCTTTCCCCAAATCAGACTTGGCTCTGCCTCCTCCAGGAAGACAGAAGCCAGTCGACAGGGAAAAGGGCGCCAGCTGCAAGGCCGCCCGGCCCCGCGCCCTCCCAGCCGCGGGCGACACGCGCGTCTGCGCTCGAGTCTCGGGCGACACTGACCTGAGCAGTCGGCGACACGCCCCCGCGGCACGCAACTCTTCCTGAAACATTGTTATCTGGGAAGCTCGGCTTCTCCCAGCAGAACCCGGACTACCCAGACTTCCGGAACTCGCGGGCTTCCGGAGCGACGCAGGACCCGGAAGTGTCAAAAAAAAAAAAAAAAAAAGACGTGAAATTAAACCCACGAGAACTACCGGTCAGCGCGCTGCGCAATGCCCGGGAGGGCGCAGCCACCGGGAGCGCCCGCGAGCCGAAGGGCCGAAGGGCCGAGGAGCCGAGGAGCCGAGGAGCCGAGGAGCCGAGGAGCCGAGGAGCCGAGGAGCCGAGGAGCCGAGGAGCCGAGGAGCCGAAGAGCCGAGGAGCCGAAGAGGACAACCGCGCGCGGTGATTGGTCGGCTGGCCGTCCGGAGGAAAAGCGTCTCTGATTGGCAGGAGAGTCGCGCACCCGTCCGCGCGGGTCGCCTGCCGCGCGTGGAGAGGCCGGGGTGCCAGGGGCTGCGGGGGAGCCGGGCTCCCCGAGGGCCGCGCTCTCCCCGCCT